ACTTACTAACTCACACACACGCACACACACACACACACACACACACACACACACACACAATCCCTGTCAAAGCTGAAATCCCTGTCAAAGCTGCTATACCAGTCGAACAGATCACTCAGCAGCACACCACAACCCAGCAACTCGACACACCCATCTCTCTGTCTCTTTCAGTCTCTTTCTCATGCCACCATGAGCTGAATTAACATCTAAACTCCAGGACTGCACAGGAGAGAGACATAAGAAAAGGTGTGGGGAAGAAGAGCATTTCAACAGGTACTAACAACAAGCCACTGTTGATCGGATTGACTGCGATGATTAGAATTTTGACAAGTTATTTACTGTGTGGTGTTTGCCAAACCTGTGTACGTTGTATGGACCTGTGCTTTGAGAATGAATAGAATATTTGGTAGCAAAATAAGATAAAAATGATTTCAGAAATTATACTGAAATCATATTTCATGATACAATTAGCCACTGTATTGTCAGGACTAAGTCCCATCTGCCTTACTGGAATATATTTTATTATTCTTTTTTTGTAATTTTACACTTTTGTGCTTTTGCACTACATTCTATGCTGCTGTGTCAAACTGGAATTTCTCCCACAGGGGATCAATAAAGGAATACCGTATCTTATCTTATCTTATCTTAAAAATAAAATGGTATTAAGTAAAAGTCTTTTACCCTTTTGCTCTGTGTTCCAGTAACAGCTGAGCAAGTCTGTACTTAGACAAGGAAACTAAAAAAGAAAGTAGGGTCATTACATCATAACACCCACATTGCAATGCTGTCTGATACCAGTTCTCTAGAAGCCCATCTTGAGATATATGAAGAAGCACATTAAAACCCAACATATCTATGTCATATGACCTTTGATGAAGTGATGCGTCTACCAAATGAAAGAACACACTTCAGAGAATACATTTTTCCAGATAGGTGCATTTGTTTATTTGTTGTTGGTCTCCAAATAATATCTGAAGATGATTGTATGCATACTTTACAGGGCTTATGGTGAATCAAATGTAAATGCTCACTATGGCCAATTTTAAAGAAGGTGGAGTGAAGTGTGCCTTGAAAATGTTAATATAGATAAACATCTTTGGATACTATTTGGAGAACAACAGCAAATTAATGAAAGCGCACATTTGTCAGTATCATCTGTGTTCCTGTGTGTTCTTTCATTTGGTAGAGGCATCTCTTCATCAAATGACATTAAATGTAGATATGTTGGGTTTTAGTATGCTTCTCCAAGCTTCAATACAACTGGCACCAAACAGCATTAGAATGTTGGTGTTATGAATGACCCTTCCTTTTTTAAATTCCCTTGTACTTAGATATGCTATGTACTGGATTGTCTATGATGAAATGAAAAAGAGAACCAAATTTTGAAGGTGTATAGTCACATCTTAAGTCTGCTAATGTTAGCAATATGTTAGCTAACTAGCTAATTATCAATAGATGTAAATTAGCAAGCTAGTTGCTAAGAAGCATTTTGCTAACATTAGCTAACTTAATGAATGCTTCACATTCTGAGGCAAAATACTCTTAGATTTGGACAAAGAAACCTGAAATATAGACATTCCACTTTGAAGTCCATAGTATCGGTCAGTTTTAAAAATGCTGCATCCCAATAACATTTTTCATGTGATTTTTAATTTTTCAAACTACACATCCACTTGATGATGATCATTCTGATATCAAAAACATTATTTTCTTTCCAGAGCCACAGAAGACATTGTACAACTGTTTTCCAGGCTGAGCACTAACTAATGACTTGTTAACTGACCTTTATGAGTAAAACCAGTTCACTTTAGAATGAAGTGAGCACACAGCATTCTAAAGTGAACTGACAATGTAAATACATTTTTGTGAATATCCTCAACAATCAGTCAATGTTTCTGCATGTTTCTCTGCTGCTTCCTAGTATGGGCTCAGGCCAGAGCAGTGAGAAGCTCCACTGCAACCGTTATCTCAACGGACAGGGTCCTCCATCACTAGTACAACAAGGTCCTTCATTCACACACAGATCTATTTCTCTGTCAAGCTTTCCATAATTATCTCCTACTCACTTCTGATCATTTGACTAAAACTGGCCCAATATCTATACAGCTAATGAAGGGCTGAATGGGATGCACAAAGCAGTGAATGACTGCCAGCCAGAAGGCCAGATGACCTGGGTGCTCCTCCACAGAGACCTGCCAGGATTCCCTGATGACAACACCCTGCAGATCAACTACATATTCCCAGATGGAATACAGACAGTAAGATTGACCAAAACTACACACTGCATTTACATTTGAATGAAAGGAAGTGAGAGAGCTTGGAGTAGAGCACAGGTCTGGCAGCATTCTTTCCATGTCAGAAGCTGATGATCTGGTTGGTCTGGTTAGCAGAGCTACAGGAACTGAAAACTGTAGTAAAGCAACACAGATTTTACACAGTGTGTTTCTTGCAGGAGGGGATTTTATTGGGATATCTGCAAGTTTTGAAACCACTCACAACATTTTAACTATGAAGTCATGATATTGTCTCACAACTATCACACAACTGTTTTTATTTTTGCTGTTGTTTGGGAGCATAATAGACCAGTTTTGCACATTGCCTAAATCTAGTGAAGGTCATGCACGGACATTTTGAGGGGCTGTTGCTGTAACCCCCAATGAATAGTACCACCCGTGTCCTACACATATGTTTTAGAACAATGCACAGCTTATCACGTTTGCGTCACAGTGCAAAGTATTGCCTTTATCATGCTACAGGCTAAAGATTTTTACATGTTACCAGCTGCCGATATGTTAACCAGTTGGCTAACAAGCTAAGATTGTTTCATGTGATAGCATAATGCAAAAAAAAAGTTTCGATTTAATAGGTCAGCTAAAGAGGGTAACTTTAGCCCGGCATGTCCTTGTCTAGTCCAAAATTATATAGCTTCTGACAAAGGTTGACAGAAATGTAAAGCCCAATGCTGCAAAACAGCAACAACCAAAAACATTTTTTTACTTTATATTAATGTACAGTAATATGCATTCTTATTTTTATTGGTGCCAGGTGTTACATTTTTATAGACATGATGAGGTGATACTGATATCTGAAAAATATTTACTGCCAATGTTTTTAATTTGTACTCCCTACAATATCCCGAAAACTTGAGCAGGACTGAAGGTTTTATGGTTATGTGTAGACAACTCAAAGCACTTAGTTATACTGTATTTAGAGAAGGTTAGAGAAAGATTGTGTTGGTAGACAGGATGTTAACCCTGTGCTTTGCATGCCTTGTCCTCATCCCTGTGACTGTAGCACAACTATGCCAAACCTATGAACAAGCATTTATCAGCAAGAACATTCATTATGAGTAAACATAATTAGTAGACAATGTTGTTTACTGTGTTACTATCTTCCTGCAGGAGAAACATCCTCACCCTGGCCAGCCTTATGCAGGGCTGCGACTTTGTGCTTACCTGCCTGACAGCCGGGAAGGCAGAAAAGTTCTCAAGCTGCTGGACAAGGCCTTTAACCAGCAACTCCTGTTTACTGTTGCCACCAATAGACATGGAGAGGACATGGTCACTATTGCTTCTATCCCACTGAAAACACATCCAGATGGAGGGAACAGAATGTGAGTAAATAGGTCAACCAGTTGGCCACTGGGAACTGCTCAATATTGTATGAATAGAATTTAAAATAAATTGTACAATTTAAAGAACAGTTTTTTTGATGACTGATAATATAATATTATCATGTTTCCTTTTCTAAATTAGATGGTCTGCAAATGATTTTTTACCATAACTCACTGTGTAACAATGTTTTAATTCCAGACTTTTTGAGGGTCCCTCAAAAAGTCTGGAATTAAAACATTTAAATTGTATTTATTAGAACTAAAAGCAAACCATTATTATTGGCTGTATGATTAGTTGCATCTAAAACCAAATGTATTCTCACAGCAAAATGCCATGTAAAACCCATTTTGGATTAATTGTGTTTTACTAGAGATTTTTGAGAGGGGAGACTATTTTGTAATGATAATATTATAATAAAATAATTTTTATTTTAGCTGTTTTTCTACTAATTGTAATACTAAAGGTTTGGTAAAGGGTGGCATGAAAGCAAATGTTAGCAGTAAATGTAACAATGTGTATGTGTGATTTGTGTTCTTTCAGTGATGGCTACCCAGACTCTGATTACCTGAAGACTGTGAGAAAGCTACTGAGGGATAAAGGCATTGAATAACAAACGACACACGATACTTAAAATCTACAGCTTATCTATGAACGACCAGAGATCCTGTGCCATAATATGTCTTTTACAAAACATTATCTGATGATTGTTGTCAGTATAAAATCTTGGGTATAATCTGTGTATTATTACGTTAATGCAGTTCTTACACATCAAGTATATTTATTATAACATGTATTAACTCCAGCTTTTGGTGTCTTATGTGCAATAACTTGTCTTTGTGTGAAGCGATTATTTTATTGTATCATAACAAAAATGATTTTTAAAACTTAGAATGTATATATAATATATATGAGCCATATCGCTGTAGGAATGAGGTAAATATTTCATTTATTTTTACCCAACATAAACCAATTGGAAAATAAATTATAAAAGCAGCAGTAGCTCAGTGTGGATGGACTTGGGAACCAGAGGGTCGCCGGTTCAAATCCCACGGACTACAAAACATGCAGTGTGGACTGGTAGCTGGAGAACCTAACCCCAAGCCTGCTCATGGTGCACTGTTAACGTGGCAGCCCCATGACTCTCTCCCTGTTTGCATGTCATGTTTGCATCTCCTTTGGTCTCAAACCTGGGCTTTGGAACCTGGAATCTGGTTTTCAGATCTGAGTGAAATACAAGGAGTTAAAATATGAAATATATAGTTGAACCAGACCATGTAGGTACTATATTCAAATAATTAATAGAATTTTAAACCAGAACTGGAGAGATACTGAATGTTCTTTACCTCAAGTGTTTGTCACAGCATTCTAAACCAACTGTAGAAGGGCAACTGCTGCATCATTCTGACAAGGAAATAATGAATTGCAGTAGGTAAGAGGAAATGAAGATGTACATAAGTTCATGTAAATAGCAAGACTCTTGATGTGCTGATTTAAGTTGAGATATTCCTTAAAAAACATATTTCGGACTCTGTGTTTTAAAGGTCCAGTGTGTACCATTTAGGAGGCTCTATTGGCAGAAATAGAATATAATATTTAAAGGTATGTTTTCATTAGTGTATAATCAACTGAAAGTTAGAATCGTGTGAGAGACTTTCGCTGACTTCCTGTGGCTCCTCACACACATGGATGGGATGATAGGAAAAATGCGTTTTGGGCTATTGTACGTGATGATCCCAGAAGTTGCAAAACCCCATGCAGCCACTAGCTAAAATCACTTCACAGCTCAGCACCATTCCTTGGGGAAGGGCTTCCTTTGAATAAAGGTAGGGGTTGCCATCTCCTCCCACCTACAACCTGTTATCATGTCATTGAAGTTCCATACTTAGGTCACGTGATGACAACTGAACGATCTCATGACAGCTGAGCTAACTCCATTCACTGATGGTATGTGGCTGAGACTTCAGGAAAACCTCCAGTAAGTAGACCTTGTGCTAAGAAGTGTCAAAATGAAATCATTTATTGTTACATAATAATAATAATACATTTTA